AGGAAGAAACCTCCAGCAGAACAAGGCTCAGGACAAGCAGCCATCTGCTTCGACCGGCTGGGTTTGAGAGGAACAGATACACAATGGCAGGTCGAGAATCATGTTACGATTGAAATAGTATCAAATGAAAACTATTCATTTGTAACAATCTATTTAAAGAAATGAGGTCAATTTGTCCTCCAGTAGTATAAGTCAATAGCAGCATAACAAGCCGACCCTAACTATAGGATTTACCAACAAGGAAAGTCTCAAGTCCAGTCTTAAAACTGGACCATGTGTCAGCCTCACGGACAGAAACTGGAAGTTGGTTCCATAAGAGAGGAGCCTGAGAACTGAAAGATCTTCCTCCCATTCTGCTTTTGGAAACTCTAGGAACTGCGAGTAAGCCTTCAGTCTGAGAGTGAAGTGCTCTGTTAGGAAAATATGGAACAATAAGATCTGTAATATAAGATGGAGCTAGATTGTTGAGGGCTTTGTAGGTTAAAGTAAGATTTTGAACTCTCTTCTGAATTTGACAGGGAGCCAATGGAGAGGAGCTAAAAATTTAGGAAGAGAATGTACCTCGCCCAATACCTCTCATGTCAGAATTTTAAACTTAGATCCTCTTATGATGGGAAGAAGTTCTAGGCGCTTTGAATTAACTGTGTAAAAGACTTAATGCACATTCTCATCTAATGTCATGAGATGTCATGGTCTGTATGTGTTGTGAATGACTCTCAACTACAACCACACCAAATTTGAGCTCAATCAATGGTTATTGAAACATTTTGCTAACATGACAACACACCCAAACATGGGGGGGGGGACATCACCCAATCACCTTTGATGGTGATAACAAAGTGAAGTGACATGTTGTTTGAACTGCATTGTTTTCTTGTCTCTCCTCATGTTGCATCAGGTGCATGGCTTCTTCAAAGGTATGTTGTTACCCATGACGACAGTCTCTCTGACGTCCTCAGTGGTGTTTGGTACGTACAGAAACTGCCTGCAGTGCATGAAGCAGGCACGGGGAGCTGACTGGCTTCCAAACACCAAACTGGAAGTCTTCCTGGCTGGACTTGCAGGAGGTCTAGCTCAGGTAAAAGAATTTAATGTACAACCCAATCTGTGATTTGTTGCGTCACGCATCTTAGAAATGTTCTTAATAGGGACGCACGATATTGGATTTTTGTCCGATATGCCGATATGTTCAAACTTATTTGGCCGATAACCGATACCAATACCGATATTTTTCCCTAGACCTACTTACAGAGAGCACATAACTTTCTCTGCTGTGGAATTAAAATACTACATTATTCTGCATGGTTTTTGTCAGTTTGGCCTGCTACCAAATGCAGATGTCAAAAAGGGGACTTAAAATGATGTAACACTATATAAATATTTAATATATATTTTAAAAAATCAACGCCTTTTATATCAGTGAGTTATTTTGATTGAATGGCCGATGTCCAATATTTAACTTTATGACTTTTTAACTTTTTTTAATATCGGCTGATACCGATACCATGCTGATAATATCGTGCATCCCTAGTTCTTAATATTAACAGGAGGTTAAACTGTTCACACCGTTTTTATTCCTATGTTTGACACATGACCAAAAACACAAAAAGAGACAAACTTAGCTCTTACGATCAAATTGAGCCAAAAAAATTCAGATATCTGCTTCTGAGCCGTTGTTTACCTTCCTCCGACAGACATCGGTGATGTCTCCAGGGGACGTGGTGAAAGTACGCCTCCAGTGTCAGACGGAGTCGAAGCGAAGGGGAACCAAGGCTCTGCTACCCAAGTACCGTGGCCCGGTTCACTGTCTGCTGAGCATCGTCAGAGACGAGGGCTTCAGGGGACTCTACAGAGGGGCCCTCCCGCTCATGCTTAGAGACGGACCATCATACGCCACATACTTTTTGACTTATACCACCATTTATGAGTGGCTGTCGGACGGCAGTGTGAAAAAGCTAGGTGAGTGTAAAACGCTGGCTCTTGCATCAAATAGGTTTGTGTCCAATTTCACTCACAGTCCTGAAAATCCTGAAAAAAGGCAACTCGACGCTACGTTAGTGACGTGAGAACGCTTTATTTTCTTTAGATTGGAGCGGTGTGATGCTGGCCGGCGGAATCGCAGGAATGGCTGGTTGGACCGTAGGAACGCCCATGGATGTGATCAAAGCCCGTCTACAGATGGACGGCGTGCGGGAAACGAAGCGCTACAAGGGGTTGTTCCACTGCGTCGTTGAGACTGTGAGAGTGGAGGGACCTGCGGTTTTCTTCAAGAGCTTAGGCATCAACTGTCTGCGTGCTTTCCCCGTAAACATGGTGGTGTTTTTAACATACGAGGTTCTCACAGGGTTTCTTCAAACTGGACCTGAACGTGTCGACCCACCTCCTATACTAGAATAGTAAAGACACTTCTGGTCATATCTAGTTTTCAATACGGAATGGTTTCCACAACCATCACTAAAGCTGTTACACATACAAATACAAATTGAAGACCTAGTATGCCTTGAAGGAATGCACATCATCCTCCACCTTTTATGACAGAGTTTTAATTCAAGATCAATCAATCAACCTTTATTTATACAGGTAAATCCCATTGAGCCTCGAGGACTCATTTACAAGAGAGACCTGATTTCAACAAAGAAAGATGACAACAATGGACAACAACAACAACAATAAGCAGTTATAAAAACTCATACTACAGTTTTTTTTTTTTTTTTTTAACAAATAGGATGGCTAAAAGGAAAAAGGTAACAAAAACAAAAAAACAGCTAGATTCCAAGACAAATGTATAAAACTAAAAACAGGAACATGTCTGCATTGGTCCCTGCCAGGAGTCCAACAGATTCTTAAAGCCACTTAGAGAGGTCAAGGTCGAGAGCTTCAAATCTTTTTGTAAGATATTCCAGGAAACAGGAGCGGAGTAGGAGAAGGTCCTTTTGCCTAGTTCAGTCCTCACTGAGGGAACACTGCAGGTAATAATGTCCTGAGAGCGCACTCCGTAACTGCACTCACGCAGAGACATGTAGGAGGAGATGTATGAAGGCAGCAGACCAAGAAGTGATTTAAAGATGAAAATGTACCAGTGAGAGAGTCTGCGTGAAGTTAATGATGTCCAGTTAACCAATGAATACAGGGTGCAGTGGTGGGTACGATAATCACAGCCAGTTATGAATCTTAGTGCACCATGATAGACAGCATCCAACATCTGCAGGGTTCTTGTAGGAGCGTTCATGTAAATAATATCACCAAAATCAATTGAGGGAAGGAAAGTCACAGATACAAGGCGTTTTCTAGCATTCAGGGTTAGACAGGATTTGTTTCTGAAAAAGAAACCCAGTTTAACTTTCAGTTTCTTTACCAAGTTTTCCACATGGAGCTTAAAAGAAAGATGTGAGTCGACCAAGATACCCAAATATTTATAGGAATCAACAAACTCAATGGGGACACCATTTGAGGATAAAATCGGAGGAAGAACTGCTGGGACCAACTTCCTATTTGAAAAAAGCATCCCTGTAGCAGCCATCTTTATTTGAGTTGCATCCTAATGTCAATCAGTTGTACATGTACATTCAATGAATACTTTATGAAAGTTTCATTAAAATCAATTCAGTTTACAGTAGTCCCTCGCTACTTCGCGGTTCGACTTTCATGGACTCGCTCTTTCGTGGGTTTTCAAAGTAAGGGTGGTCATGACCCTCGGATGAGCCGCACCATCAGCATAGATTGTTCATTTAAAATAAATTATTTTAAATAATTTTGCACCTGCTAAATCAGTATTGGGATATTGGGATAAGGCGATGAGTGTGATTGCAGCGGAGAAGTGGGCGTGTCAGAGAGCGGAGATCATGACACTGCTTCTTTTAGTTTAGAAACATTGGTTAGAATATCGCAAGAGTGGGGACAGGGTTTATAAAATGTATATATATATATATATATTTATATATAAATAAACTACTGCTACTATTTGTACTACTATCCCTACTTCACAGTCTTTGACTTATCGCGGGGGGGGCGTGGCCTCTAAACCCGCGATAAACGAGGGACTACTGTATAAGATAATTTGCTAAAAGATAGACATCACTGACTGCAGCTTTTAATGCCAAAGTTTCAAGCAAAGACATTGTGCAATGGACAGAGCTCTGAATATGTGTTAAAGTTGATCCTCAGCTACTACCACTTACATTTGATCTCAGTTTCTGTCAAATTGGCTGAGTTCTTGTCATTTTGGTGTTTCGTAAGGTAATTTAACTGGTGGCCAGCAGTCAAAATTGATTAATTTGTAGACGAGCGCCAGATGATACAGTTTTCTAAAAGGTTAATTAAAATCTATGAAGTGGTTCATGTAATATTTTGCTACCAAACAGACAGATGTAACTCTGGGAGTTAATGAAAAAGTCTTAAAAACAAATCTTGCTCCATCAGTTAGTGCATTAAATATATGTTGGGGGGTGAGTCTTAGATACCTCCACACCAAACTTTAGCTCAATAGCTGTAAAATTATTAGAATCATTGTGAATTTGTGTTTGCTAAGTTGACTTGTCTATGATGACCATTTTGAAAGGCAGTGACTTCAATAGGTAATCATTTTGCAGATGTACATATAATGATCGCTTTCTGAGAGTTTTATTTAGATTTATCTAGTGGTTCATGAGATATGTTGTTAACAGACACACTGTATGCACATACAAGTAAAAGCATACTTCATTGGTACCAGAATCAATGCAAACACTAGAGGGAGACCTTGACCAGCTGGCTACAAAAGTTTAGTCATGCTCTGTTCATGTTGACTAAAGCACAATCCTCTGGAGGCTGATTGAACTGGAGACACAGTTGACTTTGTTAGGACCATCTCAGGGCTTGGGTTGACCGAGAGCTGCCTGACACGAGCATCAGACCCGTCCAACTACATGAATTTCCTTAAATGTTACAGTTGATCAATCTAAGTTATTTATCGGTATAACTAAAGTGAATATTTTTACGTCCTGCACAGGATGAGAAAAGTTGCCTCTGTTACATCTAATTATAGCTGCTGTTCTATATGGCGCCTTTTTATACATTAAATAAATGTGTTCACACATCTGAACTGGTGTTTGGACTGGATTTGACTTCAGAGGTTTGAGCTTAATAATCAGGGTTCTTCAAACATTAAACAATAAGTGAATGTAATTATTTGTATTTAAGTTTTATAAATGAAAATGTCATTGCGCCTTCCTCAATAAATGTTGAAAATGTTGTATTAATGTCTTTGATTTTGTATTTCTTGCATATCAAGACATAAATAAAAGCCAAATGCTGTCAAATAAATATCTATTTTTTCCCCTATATATAAAAAAGAATATAAATAATCAACATAGTTTTTAGTTTATCAACACAAAATGAACAGAAGTTTTAAAAAAGATGAATGTGGGCTGGATTTGTTGCGTAGTTGCATGATCTCTGTAAGAACATAAAAGTAGGTAGATGTTTGAAGTATGTCTTTTATTTCTGTATTTAAACTGTTTTTCTCTAATGTTTTTTTAATGTTAGTTTCAATATGAATTTCGTAGAGAAGTGCATTATTTCACTTTGAACTCTTTTTTTTTTCTTGTTAATAATTTTAATCGGTTTTAAAATGAATAACTTCCCAAGTGTTTTACTACAGCATCTTGTTGAATATTAAACCTGTGTGTTCCATCCCATTTGTTTCCTGACATAAGAGGTTGTTCCAGATGCTTATCAAGTCTAATCAGTGCCAAGACTTTTTAATTTATTTTTAAACTCTAGGCCAAAACCTCCAAATATCAAAAACAACTGATTTTTATATAACATTTTTACCTTCCAATAAATCACCTCATAATGTTCTCAGATTTATCTGATGTCTCACTTTTAATGATCTACATATGTAATAACTTGTTTTATCTATTAGCTTCAATGAAAGTGTCAAAATTATACGTTTGTCTAAAAACTTGAAATACATGTTAGAACTAATATTTATTTGTTCATTTGAAGTAGAATTTTTCATGCAGGGTTAATAATAAACATTTTTAATTTACTATACTAATACTTTAGCATTATTGCATTTACTTTTTATATTAAAGTTAAATATATGGCAATTTTTATTCTGGAGTACTGCACATTTACAGCTATATTAAAGTAACTATCATGCATTGAAGGAATGCATTGTAGATGAACAGATGCTCGGATATATTCATCATTTAACACGGATTCCTCATTTTTCTGGACTGAATAAAACGTGCATTGATTTTAAGGAAATGCAAACGTGAGACCTCATCTATGTTTGACCCATCAAAATGAATGTGGTCATTTATTTACAGAATCAAAATTTAACATCAAACATTTACATTAATTTGGCAAATTATGAAAATAACAACATAAGCAATCAATCAGGAAAAATCATACGGCCATGATTTTTCCGTTGCTTCACCACAGACATTTATGAAACTGTACAATTATGATCTTTTACCCACACGGATGTGGGTGAGCATTTTACACAGACATTTCTAAATATCTGGAAGTATATCTACTTGATAGAAAGTTTAAAGATGGGAAAGAAGTTTAGAGGGAGTAAAGATGGTATGGGAGGGGAAGTGTTCACCAGAATTGACACTCTCCGTCAGAACCCAGCTCTCCCCGGTACGCTTGGTAGGAAACTTGACTCGTTACCTTTCTGAGGTTATCTCAGCAGATATGGAGCTCCGTTAACGCTACCTGTCCAGCGTCTCCTTAGGATGCTGTGAATCGTCAGAAGTAGTGGCGAGTGAAAATGTTATAATCCCATGGAACTCGGAAGAGCTCTGTTGTCATGTCAGGATCATCCCGTCTCTCACAGAACTGGGCTTCTCTCACAGAACTGGTTGGACTGTGTATCCAGCAGAACTCCAACAGCACTCCATCAGAACTGAACAGAACTGTCCCAGAACTGGGCCTAGTCCACTACAGCATCATGCGTGTTGCTTTGCATCCCCAAATTTTAAAAGATTTCACAAAATCTGAGTGCTTGAAACATGTGATGGGGATGACTCTCAACTACTACCACATTAAATTTTAACTTAATATCACTTCACCACTTGCTGTTGCCGAGGTTAGACGCTTTCCCCCCTCCCTCCCCGCTTTGCTTGTCTGTCTGTGAAACTGTTTCTGAGTCTCTCTTGCATATCCTGTATAAATAAAGGTTGATTGATTGATATCTTACGAACCATAATTATGGACTTGTTTTGATCAGTTGGTCCCTCAACACAATTTACAACATTTCTTTGAAGAGAAGACAGGCTTTAGGTGAGCCGATTTGCCCTGTTGGCACACACATAGCTGAATATCTCATCAACTTGGAAGACTTGATGATATGTCTATCTCTGCTGCCATTTGTGGATTTTAAGGACACATATTTAATTGGATTTACGATAACTGGTTCCTGTTTTTGGATTCGGCTGGTTGCTGGTTTTATCTACAATCACGGAAGTCGTCTGCAGCAAATTTAGACCCGATCACACTGCTTGGCTTTATGATGGCTTGGTTTGTGCCTCGAGTACCCAGACTCAATTGCTTTGGGCAGAATGGATCTGATCTCGGGGCTTTTACTCAGGCACGTTTCCATCGG